GCAATTCTCCTGCCTCAGCCTCCTGAGTAGCTGGGATTACAGGCACGCGCCACCATGCCCAGCTAATGTTTTGTATTTTTAGTAGAGACGGGGTTTCACCATATTGACCAGGATGGTCTCGATCCCTTGACCTCGTGATCCACCCGCCTCAGCCTCCCAAAGTGCTGGGATTACAGGCTTGAGCCACTGCGCCCGGCCCAAGTCCTTGGAATCTTCAAAGCGATAAGTATCTTTTTGTAGGCTAATGGGTTGATGAGTGGCTGGCAGCTCCTGGATAGCTTCAGTATGTGAAAGAACAGGCATGACCTCCTGGGAGGGATGAGAGGCTGAAGTTTAAGTTGATCACCAATAGCTAATGATTTAATCAGTCATATCTACATAATGAAGCTCCCATAAAAGTCCAAAAAGGACTGGGTTCAGAGAGCTTCTAGATAGTTGGACATACAGTAGAGGGTGGTGTGCCCAGAGAGAACATGGAAGCTCCACACCACTTCTCATACATTGCCCTATGCATCTCTTCATCTGTATCCCTTGTAATATTCTTTATAACAAAAAACTGTTTCTCTGAGTTCTTTGAGCCCCTCTAGCAAATTAACAGAACACAAGAAGAAGGTTGTGAAAACCCTAATTTATAGCCAGTCAGTCAGAGCACAGGGAAAACAAACTGGATCTTGTGACTGGCATTAGTAGTGGGAATGGTCTTGTGGGGCTTGAGCTCTCAACCAGTGTGATCTGATGCCATTTCTAGGTAAATAGTATTGTTGTATTTGACCGAAGCGTAGAAAGTTATCACAAGACAAAAGTATGCCAGGTTGCAGGGTCATTTATTATGCCGGCGACCACAGAGGACTCACGTCTCTCCAACCTGTGGCGGCAACAGGAGGGTGTCACGATTTTTTATACCCGAAAAACCACCTTGGGAGTGGGGGTGAGGGGCGGGGATGGGGATGAAAAGGCTTCAGACATTCCGAGGGCTAGTGGATTCTGTAAATTATCTCCTGGGCAGAGATGAGGGTGGGGGTCTCCGGACATTCCAAGGGCTAGGGGACTTTTGTCATTCCGTTTGTTACTTAAGTGGTTTACAGAAGTCAAGATAAACATTTGTTTACACATTATCTGGTTAAGGTGGAAATCACAGACCTTAGTTACTTATTACAAGCCACAGGAGCCAGGATGGAACTAGCTTGGGCTGCTTAGTCTGGCAATTGCCGGTAAGCAAAGGCTAGCAATTCTGGCAATTACTGATAAGAAAAGGTAAGCAGCTTTACATAGTTTTGAAGAACAAACAGCAGTTCTATTTACAGAGGCCAAAGACAGTAGTTATTGTAAGGAGAATGGGGCAGCCATTTCAACTTATCTAAAAACAGTTTTGCATTTTATAAAATAGTTTTGCTCTGGTTCTGGCTCTAGGCCAGCACAATATCACAGTATCAGAATTGAATTTAATCAGAGGATACCTAGCTGATGTCTGCTGCAGAAAAGAACTGATTGCTTGTTTGCGGTGGGCAGAAATCACCACACATCTGGAGTCAGAAGCACATCTGAGAGTGTAATATTGAAGAAGGAGACCCAGGCATCTAGGATCACCTCCCCCTTGACTTCCACACTGCATTTCAATAGAAGCCTGGCTGACTGGTGCCTCCTAAATCACCTTCCTGTAAATAGCAGGCATGATGTGGGGGAATCTCTCCAGAAGACATTGTTTTTACTTAAACAAGATCAAACCCCCACCCCACTCCTCCATTGACCAAGACCCTTTCATCTGTGCTTTCTAAAGCTGTAAACCCAAGACCCCTTCACTTGTAATTTCTAAGGCTGTGAACTAAGATTCTTTCATGTGTAATATCTAGAGTGTAAGCCTATATGAAGGCAGAGCTTCTCTTTGTTAGGTGAGCTTGGTGGTTTAGACAAATTGTCGCATGGCTCCCGGCCGTAGTAATAATAATAAGTACCTCTTCCTTCCCAGTTCAGTGGTCAAGAGGTCTGTTTTTTGCGGCCACTCCTGCTTCATTATGAGAAGCTGAGTTTGTTTTTTCTACATGGACTACATGTGGACTCTTCAGGATTGTGACTGTGCTGAACTCACTAAAATTCACTGATGGTAGGTGTAGGAAAAGATGGCCGGGGCAGACCTGTGTTACTTACAGTTAAATGATTACAAGCTTGCTTTGCTTTTTATACACTGAGATTTGTGCCACGGATCAAATATTGAATAAAGAAAACTCCAAACTATGGTGTAGTAAAATAAAAGCAGAGATCAATTAGTAACAGGAGACTTATAGTAAAGACCATCTGAGAGTGCTTTAAACCATGGAACGCTGTGGTGCAGTTGAAGGGCAGGAAAGCTGCTTTGGTCCCATGTCTCTTCCCAACATAGGGTCTGCGTACTCACACAGGGTGAGGGTCTTCTAAAGAGAGGTTATGCAAGAACTCTGGGAAAGAATGCAACTTCTGCTCACAAGACTCAGGAGGGTCTTTGCAGATGGGAACTTGCAAGGCCGAAAAGCCTTGCAGGGCAGAGATTACTGGAATGCCACAGGCTCTGCCTATGTTCTCAGAATGCGGAGTAATTCTGATTGCTCTGTGTCCACAATGCTCAGGAGATAAAAGTCCCTTGATGCATTGTGTGTGGTCAGACCTTATAGCGCCTTATCCTCTGTGCCTTTTTGCAAGTGCACCTGGATAGACAATGGGTGGTAAAAACTGAGTGTTAGAAATGCTAACTTAGTTAGCATTTCTTAGAAAAACCACATTTGCTATTGAATGATGCAGACACATGCTCTTCCCCAGGCCATCTTCCTTCTCAAGCCCCCTCCCCACAGCCTGCAAGATTAACAAGATAATGCACCCAACATAAGTGCTGGGAGCCCAGAGCTCAATGCCAATGTGGATCACCCCACGTGAGAGTCCTTGGACCCCTGGACCCATGCTGTGAACTTCTACTCTTGTCTCTGTCTTATTTATTTTCTCACTCCCTGTCACCACTGGGACATGGGGCACTCACATACAGGGTTGGGCTGGTTTCCAACAGTAGGACTATCTCTGTCCCAGTCAGACAACCATGGCTCAATCTCCTATGGGACAAGAAGCCTGTAGGACAGGAATGATTCAGCACCATTTTTATAACTAGATTCCAGTCCCAGTTTATAATCTGACTCTTCCAAGCCATTGATGCTGGAAAGGGAGTCCTGGTGATGGTCCTCACTAGCCATTTGGAGCCTCTACCCACTTTGTTACAAATCCCAGTTTCAGGGATGGCGGAGGAAACCAAGAAGAAAAAAATCAGTTACCACTGCAGAATTCTGCAAAGGCCCAAGAACTGGAGAACCAACACTAGGGTATAAGAGGAGCTGAAAATAAAAGAATTGGCTGAAGGCTCCTAGAGGACGCACCCATATAGCTACCCTTCCTCAACTTCAGCAGAGTACTGAAGACATACTTCAAAAGAAGTTGAACCAGAGGGACTCTGGTCTCCAGAAGACTTTCAGGGATGCCATTATGAAAGCAGAGGAATTAATTAAAAGTATTCACTGAATAGTGAAAACTATCCTCCTCCCACTCCATCCCCTACCCCACCAACTCTTGGCTCCAAGAACACTAGACATCAGGCTTATACCAGACCAGCTCGGGAGAAAATACTCACAGAATCTAACAGTTGAAGAAGTCTCCTAACAAAAGGCCAACTCTCAGCCCAGTTACTCCATGGGAAAAGCCACTGGTCAAAGAATACCTCTCATGTACATAAATCAGCTTTTTGATGCTCCACTCTCATGCACGAACAAGCAGCAAAAGATCAACAAACATTTGAAAAAGGTCTCTAACATCAAAGACAGAGACAAAAACAATCAGAAAACAATGGACTCAGACAGTGTAGATTACAAAAGAAAACTTTCAAAAAGCTCTCACTAAAATCCTTGGAGAAAATATTGTACTTGGGAAAACAAGAACAGGATGCTATTTTAAAAAATAAAAATAACATTTGCTAAATAAGTAAATGCTTTTGGAACTTTTAAAATGAATTAGAAGAGCAGAAGACAGAGTTGAGTAAATTTTGCAAAAAGTAGAACAGAAAGAAAATACATTACAGAAGACAAAGATTCAAATAAAGGATTCATTCAGGAGTTCTAAATGCTAATAATAAGAATTACAGATAAAAAGAACAAAGAAAATTGGGGCAATTAATTGTCAAAAAAAGAAAGATTCCTAGAATTAAAGACATGCATCTCCATATTGAAAGGACACATCACTGAATGCCCTTCCACAATCACTCACTTTAAACAGACACACACCACACACTGAGGCCAGCACTGAGGTCTCTGAAGATAAACTGTCATTATTCAACTCAGAAAAAGAAAAAGTTAAAACATCAGCATAAGAAAGGAACTTTTCTGGATTTTAAGATGCCAATAGCAAATAAATCCCTGCTTTTATGTATATTTTTCTCAAAATAATTATAAGCTAAATAATATCTTATATGCATTAATAGAGCTTCCTATTTTAAAGAAACAAGACAAAGTAAAAAACACAGAAAGATTTTTAATTGGGAGTATATGCAGGCAACTCATAATAATTGGTAGATTATCTGATTTTTCATTGGTAGTATATGCAGGCAACTCATAATAATTAGTAGATTATCTGAATTCTACTGTACCAGAAGTTTATTTTATCAACTTTTTAAAATACATAGGTCATGAGGCTTAGAAATGTCTATTTTCTTAGATCTCATTATTCTTAGATTTATATAGATTTTGACTATATAAATTTTATTATTTTAGTAAATCTTTACTAAAATTATTTATTATTTTTTAGTATTAAATACTGAATTTTGTATTTAAAGTACAAAAGATTTGACAACATTAATAATGGCTAATTTTGTTTATAATGAAATCGAATCTTGAGAATCTGTGTTACCTTTAAAGATACCAAAACTCCTGACACTTTAATTCTCTCTTATCTTAGTCACACACTCACCTTGAGGATCAACTTCTTTAGCTAGCTTCAGTGCATCTGAGTTTGCAAGATCAGTGTTGGCTGGAGTAACAGCTAAAATCAGACAGTTCTCCCTGGTGATGAACTGCATAATCATTTCTCTGATCTGATACTCGATATCTGGTGGCTGATCTCCCACGGGCACTTTAGTTATTCCAGGTAGATCAATAAGGGTTAGATTTAACACTGTGTGGGAAGGATAAAAGAGTCTTACATACACCTTCAATGCTAAAAGATAACAATACAGAATCATTTGTCACTTAGCTCAGCTTTCTACATTGTGTATCTGAACAACTCCAACCCAAGAGTGGAGAATAAAAGGCATAAAATGAAAATGGTTTCGCTAGTTTTCTCTATTTTTATGATATGATTGTGCTATGCCAAATGATCACTTTAACATAATTTGAAAGGCACTGATTTGCATGCCTAACAGTTTGCTCAGAAAGCTGTCATATCTGTAATGAGGTGGTTATAATTAAAACACCAAACGATAAATGCATATGCTATGTGCCAGTCTTGTACATCGCCTTCAAGTGGTATAAAAACTCTCAGGGTAAGATTTGCCCTTTCCTTAAAAACTAACGTTTTTTTAATAGAAAGTTAACCACTTAGCCTAGTAGAATGTTGTTAGCCATTCGAGGTGCCCTGGGTTTACTGAAAGCTGTACAAACAGAGTCAGTGAAACATGACTCCATCCCAACCTCTCTGTATAAACAATGTTGGCACCAAGTACCCTTGGAAAGTCATAATTGAGCTTATGTCATTTATATTCTGTTTTAAAGGCAATAGAGCTAAGTAGAGAATACGAAATGAAAATTTGCCCACTAAAAATGTAGTCAACATACATGCTATTTCCTATCACACATTATGGATTGGTTATCTAATGTATAAGTTTCTATCAATAGTCTGAGGCAAAAAAAATCATAGCCAATTTCTCAGGAAAAAAATAAATAGGACTATATATGGCTAAAAGGAATTCAGTCGGGGAAGATGCAGCCATAGTAACATGTACCTCTAAGATTTCAGCAAAGATTGATGAATGGAAGTTTTCATACATACCCTTCTCAAATTCTAAAAGCTTACAATAAAAATAAAGAAAAAAATTGTAATGACCAACTCAATTCTGTTTTTATTAAAGTCATCTCCTCCTGCCTCTCCATAAATGTTCTAAGAGCTCTTTGAACCATATATTAATGGTGGTATCCAAAGGATACCCTAGAAACCCAGTACTATTTGTATCTTCTGTACAAATGATGTGTGTTAATTAACGTAGTAAAAATGTTTGAGGAGAAGAATTTAGAATTTTATTATTTTACTTACCATGTGGGGAATAGACTCGTAAATTAATGGGTATGGATGAAATGCCTTTATTCATTCCAGTCACACGATCTGTTTCTGCTTCAATCTCATGGCGAACTTCATCAAAATCTGTAAATTTCTTTCCTTTGCAATGTAGAAACTCAGCATATTCTATTAAAAAAAAACACACACAACTTAAATTCATGCATTTTTGCCATAATTATAAAAAATGTTTCTTTAATTATAAGTCAAAGTATCCAAAAAAAAGAAAAAAATAAGTCAAAGTATCCAGTATTCTCTCTTCATCCCTCATAATGACAGAACACAGTGGTTACTAAGAATCACAATAAATAGTTTAGAAATATTAAACAGTACAAATGCTATAGGTGCTAAATTTGCTAATTTTCAGAAAAGCAATTAAATACTATAACCAGTCCCTAAACCATCTAGCCTATTAAATAATTTAAAGAAAATTTTGGCTGTCCAAATGATAAAGCAAACAACAGCACCCGATTGTTAAAGACATTAGATCTGGGATACCTCTGAGTCCGGTTAGCATTTCCCTTTTCAGTATTACCATTTTATCATGATGGAATGCCAAGTTATATAAACATGCCTTCAGAAGGCAAAATAAATGGGGGGAGGGATATTTTATTAATTTGTTAAAAATAATATATGGAATACTTTAGCTTAAAAACATACATTGAAAATGCCATATCAATTTGTATAAAGGCAATTTCTCAAGGAAAAAAGTTGTAGAGTATTATATCAAAGAAAATATTTACCTGCAATCTAAAATACCAAAAGAAAAAAAAAAAAACCCTCAGCAGAGGGAAAAATACTAAAATAACAACATAAATAGCAAAACTGTTTTTTTTTTTAATTTCAGTAACATCCTGCCAACTGTTGTATTATCAATTTCTATACCTATTTCCAGAGAAATCAGGTATATGAAAAATTTAAAAGGAAAGCTAGTACAGTACTATTAGATTTTTAAAGTGAGTATAAATATAACAAAGAAACAAATCTTAACAAAGATTTTAGTTTATCTAAAATCTTAGTGAAGAATTATACCAGTAAACTTAGACTATGTCTAAGCATCTTGGACCCAAAAGCCAGATAAGAACCTGGGAGATTGAGGCTGCAGTGGGCCGTAATCATGCCACTGCACTCCAACCTGGGCAAGACAGTGAGATGGGAGCCTGTGACCTTTCCAGTCCAACTGGGAAATCTGCCACCAGAGGACCCTCAAAAACAACAACAAACAAACAAACAAACTAAAAAAAACAAAAAGTCAGATGAGGCAATTATTGGTAGCCTTACTACTAATCCCCATCATAAACATTTAATATTCACTGTTGGAGATTAAATGGCAAGGCCAATAGCAAGAGAGCTGTCAGATGTGGTCCATGTCTTCAAGCAGGTTAGCATTAACTTAAAAAGCTAAAAATTAGGCCACTGAGAAAAAACATTAATGCAGGTAGCATAACATAAGTGTTGACCTGCCCTTAAAATGACAGGAAAGGTAGAGATAGGAAAGATGATTTTAAGCTGTGATACCCAAAAAAGGAAGTGGGGTATGGCCTGTATTGAACAGTAGGGAGGATTTTGACATGCGCAAGGAGAAAAAGAGACCTTCCAGAGAATCAGAGAATCTTCATAGGTTCAACAAATATGGCAAGTGGTCATCTAGTCTCTGCTTGGACCCATCCACTGATGGGTGACTAAAACTTTGATCTCTTTGAGAAAAACTCTGATTGGAAAATGTTTGTTTATGTTTGGTATTAAACCTATTTTCTTGTCATATTCCACGGGTCCAACTTTTGTCCTCTGGATCTACTTGGCTGTGAAAAGGCTGTGTGCATTAATGTGAGTGTCAGCACCCAGAGTTTGTCTCTTTTCTGGGCCTAATACCCTTACCTTGCTTGTCTAGGCCCTCTAGTGGCAAAGATTTCCCAACTGCAACCCCAGCCACTCTGGACTAGAAAGGTCAGAGACATAAAGTGGACCAAAAAGTTTCTACTTCAACTTATCAAAAAAATGAAATGACCTAGTTTTTTGAATGTTACAATGACAGAAACAGACTTAATTTCTCTTTCCTGACAACATGCATGGACATGAGTATTTATCTTTCTTAGTTTTTCTCTATAATGATATATGTCACTTTCTGAAACACAGCAAGCTAAGTCTGCTGAAAGCTCATTCCTCTAATGGTGGAGGTGTACCCAAAAGTAAAGATTCAACAGGCTGCAGAAATCTGACCCGAAGAGATCAGTGCATCAAGATCAGGCATGTTCTTCTATATTTACCCTCATAGGCACTGTCTTTATTAGAATATAAATTCCCAGAAGATAGAGCCTTTATTACCTATTCAATGCCTAGGCCAGTACCATATGAATGTAAGCATATATAGCTAAGTAGAGGACAAAACAATAAGAGAAACAAAAGAAGTCAGAGCCCAGAAAACAAGCAAAAATTAACAAGTAAAAATGAGTCAGAAATAATTGAGAAGAAATGGAACTGCATTTTTTCAATGCCATATATTCTGTGGAAAATGTACCCTTGAGGGCTTATGGCTATCACAACTGTTCTATCATAAATAATAAGCTTCTGGGTCAGGAAGTACATTTTCAATTTTTGCTAATCAATACATTCCAGTTGACACAAATGCAGATCTCCTTTGTTGCCACTAGATGGCACCTACTTGCTTTCTCTATAGGAAACATGCCCTTCCGGAATGGTGTAAAATCAATGCGATTTTCAAATTAGATTTAAATGAGTTGCTGAACTCTTAAAAATACTTTTATCTTGGAATCAAGAGATTATAATTGTGCAGGACCATCTCAAACCTTTGTGTTTTTTTTTGTCAACCCCTTGGTCAATTTGCAGTGTCTTGTTGAGGACAGTGTCTCCAGACAGATTCAACGATACCTGTATTCATTTATTTATTTGATTAATATTCATTTAGGTCACTCTACTTGCCAAGAACTGTTTTAAAAACTGGAATATAGTAAAGTAGGGAAAATAAGTCTCTAGGCTCACAAAGCTTAAATTTTAAAGAGTAAACAATGTGCGTGTATCAGATGCTAAGTGCTATGGAGAAAATAAAATAGCAGGGGGATAGTAAATGCTTTTGGAAGGGGGTTGCTTGGTTACCTGGTATAGATGAGGAGGCCATCCATGACAGGGTAAAGTGACCTTGGAGCAATGACTCAAGAAAGGAAGGCAGCAGGCAGTGCTGTATGGAAGGGCATCTGGGCAGAGTGCCTAAAGCAGATGTGCTCCGCATGTTGAGAGACAGCCAGGTCCATGTAGCTGGAGCACCAGGTGGTGTGGAGGGGAAGGAGGTGGGAAACAAGGTCAGTGCTGTGGACAGGCCTGGATGTGGAGGGCCGGTGGACCATTTTAAGGACTTTGATTTTTACTCTGAGTGAGATGGTAGACCCTCTGAAGGATTTAGGGTAGTGCAGAAAAATGCTGTGACCTAGGTTTGAAACAAATGTGGCTGCTGTGTTGAGGACAGACAATGAGGAACAAGAAAAGAAACTAGCTACTGGAATCATCCAGGGGAGAGATGCTGAGGTTTGGGCCAGGGTGGCAACAGTGGTGTGGCAATGAGTCGTTAAATTCTAATGTATTTTGAAGGAAAAACCAACAGAATTTGCTGATGGTTTTAAGCTGGGGTATGAGAAAAAGAGAAGCATCAAATATACTTCAAAAAGTTTAACCTCACCCACCAGAAAAAGTTTGAAATAGAAAAGACTGAAGGGAAGAGGATGGGATGGGATGGGATGGGATGGGATGGGATGGGATGGGATGGGATGGGATGGGATGGGATGGGATGGGAAGGGAAGGGAAGGGATGGGATGGGATGGGATGAGATGTGAGTTGGGACCTATTAAGCTTGTGATGCTTATTACATACCCATCCAAGTTGAGAAAAAGCATTGCTGCTAAGGTTGAGGACCACACAGCTAAAGGAGATACCATTCACATTCAGTCTTTGGATAGGTGTCTCTACTCTGAAAATTTCCAGAAGATGGCAGTCACATGCTTGAGGATAGGGCAGCTTTTTCTCATTTGTACAAAAATGTCTTCAGGGCTAGATATATGCATCTTTTGTTCACAGAGAAGTCCAAGTGAGAGATATATGCTGGGGAGTCATTCAAGTCAGACAAGTAATAGGATCATTAAGCAAGAGTTAGAAAGGGAAGAGGTCAGAGTACCAAGCCCTGAGTTTTTCAAAGTTTACAGGTCAGGAGATGGAGACTCAGCAGGTAGGAGAAAACAGTAAGGGGGAAACAAAGCCAAGAAAAGAGGAGACCTACTCTGTCAAACCCTATCAACATGTCCAGTAAGATGAGGACTATGGATCTTACAACTTGGCAACTTGAGGATCCTTCAGGAGGAAGTTTAAGAGAGAAAGAGAAGAAACCAAGTAGAACCCAATTATTGATAATTATAGATAATTATTCTTCTTTTTCAAGACAGGGTCTCACTCTGTCACCCAGGCTGGAGTGGAGTGGTGTCATCATGACTCATTGCAGCCTCAAACTCTTGGGCTCAAGTGATCCTCCTACTTTAGCCTCCTGAGTAGCCGGGACTACAGGCAGTGTGCCACAACACCTGCCTAATTTTTCTTTATTTCTTGTAGAAATGAGGTCTCACTATGTTGTCCAGGCTGGTCTTGACCTCTTGGCCTCAAGTGATGTTCCCACATCAGCCTCTCAAACTGCTTGGATTATAGGAGTGAACCACTGTGCCTACCAACAGTTTTTTTAAGGAGTTTTGTTGTAAAGAAGAGGGAAAGAAGGGAGAGGGCAGCTATAGAGGGATGTGAAGTCAAGAGAGAATTCTGTAAAGATGGCAAACTAATAGCATGCTCATAGACTGAAATGGTAACACCCAGGATAAGGGAAGTGAGAAGGAATAAATGCTGAAGTAATGTCTGAGGGAATGTGGGAAAAGGAAGCCAGAAAGAAAGAAAGAAACAGGCCAGGGCATCCATAGGAACAGGAAGGAGGCAGAACAATGAGCATGGATGAGATGAATAAGTAGAACTGATGATGACGAGGGCATGTAAAATTCATCAGGGGACTGTGAAGATTGATCATATTTGTCTGAAGTCATTTCACATCTTTACTGGTTAACTATGTGGTTTACTGGTTAACC